TCGACCTCCTGTCCAGATATACATACAAAACTGAAACATTGACACTCGTAACACGAGCATTGCAAGTTGAATAGATTAACTCTCGCGGAACTAGGGCAATCATCGGGATGGCTTGTGGTACACTCATTAACCCAATAAGTGACGATAAACTACATTTATTATACTATTTATCGAACTAATTCAACATTTGCCTGTTTAACCAAATAAGCCATTATCTTTAATTGCCCTCAAGGAAAAATCACTCCTGTTCCCACGTTCACATCACCCGTCTCAAGCCTTGGAGCTGGATGTTTCATGATAAACTGGGGGCTTAGATGCCAGGCATCCCTGTTTTCTTTACTTCATTGCCAATCTGCTATTATGCATTGTTGCATAGTAATATATGAGTATTAGTGTCAGTGGGAATTCATTATGATTAAGTCTCAACATTGGGGTTTCCCAAGCTCAAAGAGTATGTATTGGATAGTAAAAATATGTTTCGTTTTATGGCAATGTAGGTTTGAAATTATTTTTCAATGCGTGATTCCAGTACCTAAAAATTAACTATTCCTATAATTGACAAACATTCAAGGAAATAGGATCTGTAAAAAAACAAAAATCCGTAGACCTAGAATGCATACTGTACTACTGTAGTCGGACCTACATTTGAGCTTCTAATAATACCAAGTAGAGTCTTATTTACAATAAATTCTCAAAACACTAACCCTCTTTTATCTATACAAATATGCATATAAATTATCAGTAGCCTAATGAAGTAAAGAAAACAGGGATACCAACATACAGGGTGATTTGTACTCAGTGTGACAAAATTTTTTTGGTGTAAGTACAAAGTAAATGAAGTGTGATGATGCATATCAAATGTTCCAAGTCTAAAAATTAGCTTCCCAAAAAATTATTTTATGTTTTTCAAAAATAACCATGTTTTTTAAACTTAATACAGCGATTTCTCAATTACCTGTATATGGATTTGAGTAGATAATGTAATTTTCGTGTTCTACATTAAATTTTGAACAAGAATAATAGAAAATGACGGAGGATCAGTTGTTAAAACTCCATTGTAAATAGATTCAAAGATAAAAATTAAGATGTTCGATAAAAATTTTAAAAAACAATGGTCTATTGCATTTTTCACACCCTGTATACAAGAAAGTGTCGGAATATGTTAAAAACTGCGCCATTTTATAAGCTTTCCAACGATATACTACACTATTGAGGTTTATGTCTGCTTATGTACGTACGCTTTAATGGTTTGAAGACTACAAAGCATGGTGTCTTTAACATTTAAAACACAGAAAGTCGGCATGTATTAAGCAAAAGTTGTATTTTTGTTTCAGCTTAAACAGTAAAAACGGTAAAAATGTTCCCTGTTTTCTGGTATTCAAACCACTAAAACAAACAAAAAAATATCTAAACCTTAATAGTGTAGCATATGGTTGGAAAGCTTATAAAATGGCGCAGTTTTTAACATATTCCGACACTTTCTTATATACAGGGTGTGAAAAATGCAATAGACCATTGTTTTTAAAATTTTTATCAAATATCTTAATTTTTATCTTTGAATCTATTTACAATGGAGTTTTTACAACTGATCCTCCGTCATTTTCCAATATTCTTGTTCAAAATCTAATGTAGAACACGAAAATGACATTATCTACTCAAATCCATATACAGGTGATTGAAAAATCGCTGTATTAAGTTTAAAAGCATGGTTATTTTTGAAAAACATAAAATAATTTTTTGGGACGCTAATTTTGAAACTTGGAACATTTGATATGCATCATCACACTTCATTTACTTTGTACTTACATCAAAACAATTTTGTCACACTGAGTACAAATCACCCTGTATAACTTGGTTTTGTCGTTAAACAAGTGTCTCACGGTAATTGTCAAAAACCACCTGTACTTAGTTTACAGAGTTAAAGTAGAACGAAATGTTAAGTTTTTTACTAATCCATTGTAAGTTTTTCTTTAAAAACTATATTTTAGGTTACGAAATTCAAGCAACAACAATGGCGACTCAATTCATTGTTTTAATTTACTTATTATTTTTATTAACATAGATTTTACACTATTGACTTTTTACACAATAAAACATTTTGCACTATCTGGACATTAATTAACCAGTTTGAGAACAATCTTCGCTGTCCCATTTATGCCTCAGAACCTATAAATCTTCAGTGTCCATCCTATATACTGCAAGACTAGTGCTTCCACACAGTAATGCAACACTTTGTTTTAGAATACTTATTTATCTTCGATATAAGGTTTAGTGTTAAACTTTACACAATATCGTAATACAGTAATACCCAGTAGATTGACTATTGGATACTGAAGTAGTATCCATATTCAAAGGTAATACCAAAATGTCTACCAGCAGATGATTTACAACAGTATAGTGGTGTCTGGTGTTATGGGATTTGAAACAAAAATCTTATGGATTTCCTTATAAAACACAATACGATTTCTTGTACGTACACAAGTATGATTGGGAGTTACTGGCTTTGGTTGAGCCTATTTAATTCATTCCACAAACAGAGTTGTTTGGAATGTAGTTATTATTTCATAAATCAATTTAATCTAGAAAATCGGTTATAACCAAATGGTACCATATAATATATTAGAGGTATTATAAAAGGAGTGCACTAAAGCAAATTAATTATAAAAGAGCTTGTGCATTAGTATGCAGCTTACAATTTAGGGTCCAATTAATAGAACCGTAATAGGCTAATTGGTTTTAATTCGTTATCATTGGGCTATTCATTAACCAGAGATGAGTGTGGTTAAGGAATAGTTTGTTCTGATCAGTTAACAAGATTGAACTCTTTAGAAGTGCCAGCGTGTTGGGGATTAAACTTGATAGTATAAGGCGAATAATACCAGCAAAATACCCCCGCCGCAGCAAACCTGCAGACTTAGCGAATTTCCATTTGCCTGATTGGATTTAAACTAAAATGTCTCCTTAAAAATATCACATTTATTCCCTATTTAAACAGAATTAGTTTAATGAGTGCTTAGGTTTGCTGCAACAGGGAGGGTAAAAAAGTTTTTTTTATGTAGAATATTAAAAGGTACTGTGGTTTCCTAAGAAATTAATGTATTTTCCAACTTTTATCAAAATATGTTCATAAACAAGCAAACTACAACAGTTGACTTATTCTCCATAAGAATAACATGGGAATTTTAAAATTACAATTTTTTTGAATTTTCTCCGTAACAATTAGGCGCATAATAATGCTTCAATATACTAATTTATTTGTTTTTTTAAGCTCTACAAAATGGTTTTAAAAGAAATTGTGAAATTTTGTGTTTTAAGGGTCTAAAATGGGAAAAACCTTTTTTTACCCCATAAAACCCCCATAAACCCCCGTTCCCATAGTCCGATCGTGCTTGTTCGCGAACTCATCCAAGTTTATCCCGCCTTACACCTTCAAAAACCACCTTCAAACCACCTTTCAAAAAATTTGAACGAATGGTGTTTTTGGCCTCTGGGGGCAACAAAATGAAAAAGTAAATCGGTCCCGGGCTTAGGTCTTACTATGAGACCTACGGTAATAGCTACTTCAGTGGCAAACCTATCTGGCGAAACAACACAGTGAGCTTCTCTATTACACTCGTAACTGTAAACATGAAAATGCAAACTTTGGTTCAATTTGCAGAAACATTATCCAGTTGTGAATCACAATGCTGCAATTACACATCAACTTGTGTTTGACCTTAATTGCAATTATAACCTTAGACATGAAAATTAATTGGAACGATTTAAATACAAGTAAAAGTAGGTTCTCCTATGAAGACGACCTTATCTACTCATAATCATCGTTGTTTACAATACCAAAGTCCAATGAACTGAGTCACCCATACAGCAAAGTTACACACTGTATACTGTAGGTATTCTACTGTTATGTATAACATTGTGTCAGGTATAAGGATTACTACAGTCAAACAAATATTTATCATTCAGAGTTTGATATGATGCTGGAGTTCAACGAACTGCAGGACAGAGTAACACGTGGCTGTTGTCGTCAATCTATGAATACAGTAGAACAAAGGTTCTGATACAAAAATCAAATATTCAAGTTGATAAAAATAAGTTAAGTCAAGTTTTATAAACATTAAAGCGTTGTTTGAAATACTATGTCTGAAATACTATGTTGAACTATGTCAACTGGACAAAGATCAAAGGGTTTACAAGAAACTTGACTGCAGTACTGTACAATCTCTGTATTGCAGTGATACATAGTATTGACTGTAAGAAGAAAACAAAATGTACAGCCAGTTTTATAATATTGAACTAAACCGTCAACCACGAGACACGTGTAAACTGTATGCAGTAAACACTAGTGGTAATTGGTTGTAATATAAACAAACCCATCTAATAATTCTTAACGAAATTGTTATATTTAGAATAGAGGAGTACATTGGTATGTGTCCACGTGTGTAGTAGTGTGTGCGCGCGATGTACCTGCAATTGTAGGTAGTATTTTGGTTCAACTACAAAAACAAACGTTTAAAATGTAATATTTACCAAAATTACAGTTTTTTCAATACAGAAGTGCAACGAATTGTGTCCACTATAAACCACTTGTAGATGGTAGCACGTGTGTATAGTACTACTGTGTTGTGTATACTAGTATCGTGTATACCAAAAGTTCATTGTTTAAACTGATATACAAAATCCTTAAAAATAACGTTTCTCAAAATGTCAGTTTTTAGAATACATCGGTGCAGCGATGTACCCACTATATACGGTACGATACTTGTGGAATGTGGCACGTGTCTACAGTACTGTGTGTTGTGTATACTAGCATCGTGAGTGGATTAGCATCGTGTAAACCGATAGTTAATGGGGTTTAACTACAGTATACAAATCAAAATAACCTTGTTACATATTTTTGGAATAGAATAGTGTAATGAATTGTGTCCACAACTTGTGGATTGTGTATTGTACTGATACTACTGTGCATTGTACTGGTACTACTTTGTATACTGTGTACGTACTCTCCTCCGTTTGAGGCCCATGACCAGAGCCTCGGACCACCAGTCGCCCTCCTGTAGACATACACAGACACACGCACACACCAGCCACTACACACAACACCGACACAAGAGACAACCAGCCTCCGCGATACCGGCCGCGCTACTGCCACTGACTTATCTCACACTCACACACACACACACACAACAACAACAAGTTAAATATAGCACCGGTTATCTCACTGTGTTTACTTCCCCCACTGCCTCACTCTACTGGAGTCGCTGTGCCACCTTCCACGTTACAAGGATACTTCGCAATAAAGTTGTAGGCAAGACTTCCTTAACACGATTTGGTAAACAACATTGTTACGTTGTTATTGGTAAGCCAAAGTCCTGTTGAAAGGTATGCGGCGGATAACACCTTTGGTAGAAGTATTAAGACGAGTGTAGAGTGGGCAGAAAGCAGACTCGGAACGTAGACAGCACGTTGTAGATTCACGGAAAAGTTGACAACACACCAAAGTATTCGAACATCTTGAATCGATGTTTCATTACAAGACTAATCAAATCAGTCGTTCTAGGCCTACACATACAGAAATTGTTATTGAGCGAATACAAAGAAATCGTCTCTGAGCGAATTCCGTTTGGCTACTCTCAGTGAATTCCATTGCTATTAATTGGACTCTTTTTTTCTCATAATTTGACAGACATATAGATGGTTATAGAGATATAGATAGTTAAAAACTACGGCACTGATACACTGGTAGGGCACTAGGGAACGTACTTTAAGGTAAAGGTAAGTGTGTCATGAACGATATGATTATACAGGGTGGCTGAAAAGTAACTTGCACCCCCCCTTAACTTTTCAACCATTTGAGATATTTGAAATCGGTTTGCGGCAACCTTCTTAGATATGAGGGGCCACAATAACTATGGTCAATTTTGAAAATTTTGCCCTTAGAGGTAGCGGGGGTAGGGGGTAGCTCAAAATTTTCAAATGACAAGTATAGTCGAGTTTAGTATCATTTTACAGGTCTTGACGAAACATAAACATTGACATAAAGAAAACCAAAATCGGCTCACTAATAACAAAATGGCGCCCTAAAACGTTTCAAATCCAAATAACCATGAGGGTGGCAAAAAAATTAACTTGCACCCTCTTTAACTTTTTAACTATTTGAGATATTTGAAATCGGTTTGCGGCAACTTGTTTGGCTATAAAGGGCTACAATAATTATGGTCAGTTTTGAAAATTTTGCCCTTAGGGGTAGCGGGGGTTGGGGGTAGCTCAACATTTTCAAATAGCAAGTATAGTCGAGTTTGGTATCATTTTGTAGGTCTTGACGAAACATAACAATTAACATAAAGAAAATAGAAATCACAACATTAATAAATAAATGGCAGCTAAAAATGATTGAGACAATGGTTATTTAAAGTATTTTTGAGCTGCCATTTTGTTATTAATGGTCCAATTTCTATTTTCTTTATGTTAATTGTTATGATTCGTCAAGACCTACAAAATGATACCAAACTCGACTATTCTTGCTATTCGAAAATTTTGAGCTACCCCCAACCCCAACTACCCCTAAGGGCAAAATTTTCAAAACTGACCATAATTATTGTAGCCCTTTATATCCAAACAAGTTGCCGCAAACCGATTTCAAATATCTCAAATAGTTAAAACGTTAAAGAGGGTGCAAGTTAATTTTTTTGCCACCCTCATGGTTATTTGGATTTGAAACGTTTTAGGGCGCCATTTTGTCATTAGTGAGCCGATTTTGGTTTTCTTTATGTCAATGTTTATGTTTCGTCAAGACCTGTAAAATGATACTAAACTCGACTATACTTGTTATTTGAAAATTTTGAGCTACCCCCTACCCCCACTACCCCTAAGGGAAAAATTTTCAAAATTGACCATAGTTATTGTGACCCCTCATATCTAAGAAGGTTGCCGCAAACCGATTTCAAATATCTCAAATGGTTGTAAAGTTAAGTGGGGGTGCAAGTTACTTTTCAGCCACCCTGTATACCTTGATAAAGACTAAAACCATTGATTATACATATTTCAAGTAGAGTTGTATAATTTATGCTAAACACAATCCCAAGAACTATTGATCTGATGATTGGTTCAGATTCTGAATTAAGGAGAATAGCCTGCTTAATAAACACATAAAACATCAGGCTTGATTAGGCGATTAATTCTAAGTAATTAAATGTTGTAAATGTCTTTTTAACCCCTATAACGAACCTGAAAGAGACGAGCATAGAGATGAACCAATATCAACAATTGTCTTCATTGTGAATCACCTCTTTACTAGGTGCATGCTCATTCTTCCCGTGTGTGGACGAAACAAAGGCAGTCAATAAGGCTGAGCTGGTTAGTGAGGCGACCAGACTACACCAAAGTAGTCTGTCTAGGTAGGCGCACAATGGATCGAACGATCGAGCAGGCATGGATGCTCAGTGTGTTGCAGAGCAGATCATTTCGAGCTTGCCTGAGGCCTCAGTGCAGATGTGGTGAATGTGGGGTCCTAACTTAAATGACAAGTCATGTAATAATGACAAAACACCATGGCCTCTGTTGCTTAGACTTCCAGAACAGGCTGCCTTCTAGAAAATATTCAATGTCCAGAGAATTTTGTTTATGCTAAAATTTATCAACTTATTCTTGGTGGGATTAACATCATATTATCTTTGGACTTTGGAAAAAAAAACTTAGCTGAGAACATCATTAACAACCTCCTGCCTATGGAGCGATGAAAATTCCACAAGTTTTTAGAAAACCAAAGAAAACGGATTTTGATAAGTCTCTTTATGTCATTGATGAAAATGAAAATCAGAAAATATCTGTAATTTGTTGGATGTTTTCAAGTTAAATTAGAAAGAAATCCATATTCACCCCCAACCCCTATAAAACCAGTATGAAAGCCAGTTCACATGGTCTAATCAAAAGAGTTAGTAAAACTCAACCTGATAAGGGAGTGTTTATTGTATTTAAAAAAATTACATTAATGGGGAAGCTTTATCCTTAGTCGCATTAGAACTACATCTCTTAATCTGTATTGTAAATCGTCTCCGTATGGTAACCCTAAACAAAAAACCACCTTTCGGTTTATCAAACAATAAAAGATGACAAATAGTATTTGTTTTTAAACTTTTTTTAACTTTAGTTACCTAGTATGTGGAATCTGGAAGTTTTCAGACTAAAAAATACAACAAAACTCATATTTACCCCATAACCCTATCTATGAAAGCCTGTCCTCATCATTAAATTTGACCAGGATGCTTCCACTTTTCATTCTAGAAACGTCTTCACTCTCTTACATCCAGTCTTATAAAAAGTGGAGTTCCATCATCAGTTTAATTGCTTTTGATTTCATCCCGGAATTCCGTATTTATTTTTAAAGCCCTTTTTAACACATTCACTAAACCCATGGGATTTTGAGGTTAAAACTAATACAATCCCCTGTAAAAGCATGTTCTCATGGTCCAGCTAGGATGCTTTGTGTAACTAAATTATATTGGATACGTGTTCACTACATACAATCTTATTAAAAGTGGGATTTTATCAACAGTAGTCACTATAAATTTCATGGGATACTATTTTTTCCTATGGACTACCACTATACCTTCATCAGAGAATAAAAGACACAATATACTACTTTGTATTTAAAGCTCTTTTGAAGACATAAACCAAAACCAAGGGGTTTTTAGGTTCAGAGTACATAGGCTAGTTGCAAAAACTCTTATTTACCCTATACGAATTTGGTATAAACGTGTTAATCTACATTTATTCAAACGAGTTTGCTAACCAGCATGATCGGACTATGGGAACGGGGGTTTTTTGGGGTAAAAATAGGTTTTTCCCATTTTTGGCCCTAAAAAAAAAAACAATCTCAATATCTTTCCAAACCATTTTGTAGACTTAAAAAAACAAATAATTTAGTATAATGAAGCGTTATTGTGCGATTAATGGTTACGAAAAAAATTCCAAAAAATTTTATATTTTAAAAATTCTTATGTTATTCACATGGAGTATAAGTCAACCGTTGTTTGCTTGTTTATGAACACATTTTTAATCAAATTTGGAAAATACATTAATTTTTTAGGTACTTACTATTAACATTTTACTACAAAAAACACTATTTTACCCTCCCTGTTCCAGCAAACTTAAGTACTTGTTAAACTTATTCTATTTAAATAGGGAATAAATGTGATATTTTTATTGAGGCATTGTAGTGTAAATCCAATCAGGCAAATGGAAATTCGCTTAGTCTGCAGGTTTGCTGCGACGGGGTTATTTACCATTTTCTCCGCATCCCTTCATTGGACAATAAATGCCATGAAATACAAATTTGTATTTTAAGCTCTTTTTATATCATTCACATAAACCTATGGAATTTTGATTATTTTACAGTCAAAAAGCAAAAAACCAATATTCACCCCATACAACCCCTCATGAAACATGATCAGAAACACACATTACAAGGTCATGTGAACATGGTGGCAGGTTAACAAGACGGTAAAACTATTAAGAATATACGTTATAAAGCGGACACCTAATAGCACATAGTGTTAGCTACAGCACTAACGCTGCCTACGAGTGCGGCCCTAACTATGTGACGGTAATACAACTGCCACTTATTAACCTAATTTCTATATGATTCCCACATTCCACAGAACTCAAGCTGAGCAAAAAACCTGATACCTAAAAATTCATTGTATTCATATGGATTCAAGTGTCTTAAGGAATTGATATAATTTGGGGCATAGACAAATAGAATAAATATAGACTGTCAAAGGAAGCTTCCGGTCCCCACCGCTAGGAGTGCCGTGTAGTTACTGCACACACCGCTGCAGGCAAGGAGCGCAGGAGCCGTATGCTACCAGCAGACGCTGCAGCGGTGGGCGCCGTAACTACACGACACTCCTAGCGGTGGGCGCCGGAACATATGCTATAGTGATGCGCAATTGCGAGATGTTTGAACAATCAAAATGTTTCTTCTTGAGATGTTCCGCTGACATATGAATTAGCACTTATGTCACTCCGTCATGGCAACAGAAATAGAAAATTATTTTAAAGTAGCCTAATGGGTAAAGGTAAATAATACTGTTAACATTACCTACATTTATGAGAACCTTCTTTCTCGTTA